TGTCGAGGTTTTGTCCCTACTGTGACTAGTAGGGAGATTCTTCCCTTCAGTCTGACAACGTTCCCAGAGAAGCCGGCGAGTGGCACGTCGGCGGGCTAGAGGAGCTTGGACGCAAACTTCATCTTCTCGAAGGCATCGTAGAAGAGGTTGATGGTTGAGGAGCCACTATCGACCAGTATCCTCTTCACCATGAAGTTTGCGACAACGGCTGATATCACCAGTGCGTCGTCATGGAGGACCAAGATCCCTTTCAAGTCCTCATCCATGAAGGTGAGGGCTTCGTTCTACTTCAGCTTCTTGGGAGCTGACCCTTGGATGTTTAACTGTCTAGCGTGGGATTCTCGAACCGAGACCGTGCCCCTGATGATGACGTCAATGACGCCAGCTAATTGTTGCGGCTGCTGATGTTGGTGCAAGGATGAGGCACCAACCTCGCCACCCACATATTCCTTCAGGTGGCCATGGCGGATAAGGGACTCGATCTTCTTCAAGTTGTAGTAGTCATCGATGTCATGGCCAGTGCCGTAGTGGTACTTGCAGTTCTTCTTCGGGTTACCCCTCTTGGGATTCCTTTTCATCTTTTCGGGCCACTTCACATACTCCTCCTTCCCTACTTGCATAAGGATTTGTGTTTAGGTGGAGTTGGGTGGCGTGTACTTGTTGTAAGCCAGTGGCCTCTTGTGGTCCTTGTTGTTGTTGTTGTTGTTGCGACTGTCTCCATTTCTCTTCTTCTTCGGGCCTTCGTGGTGGTGATCATCCTCTCCTTCCTGGCGCTCGTCAGTCGAGGCCTCTTCAGCGGTGATGTACTTCTGGGCTTTCTTCAAAAACTCTGCCTCGGATTTGAGCAGTGTCTTGGAGATCGAGCACTTGAGGGCCGAGACCGGCAAGAGGCCGTTGATGGCTACGTGCATGGAGACCATGGGTCATGAGTGAGACGACCTCTTCTGGCACCGTCGGCTACTGATGAAGTGGGCGAGGAAGAGATCGACAAACTACTCCCATGAGCTGATTGATCAAGGGGGGAGCCCGGAAAACCATCGGCAGGCCGCCCCCTTGAAGGTCGGCTGGAAGGCCCGACACGTCAAGGCATCGGAGTACCCATAGAGAAGCATGAGTGCCATAAAGCTTTCCAAGTGGTCGTTCGGGTTGGAGGTTCCGTCATACATCTCGAGTGTCGGAGCTTTGAAATGCGGTGGGAGGGGCTCTAAGGTGATATCAGTAGTGAAGGCRTCCATTTTCCTAGACAAAGGGTTCTGACTTGTTGAGGCATTGCCTCGTCTCTCCCTAACCAAGCGGAGTTCATCTTTGATGGCACCAAGCTCTGCCTGTAAGTCGATGATCTTTTGGTTGATGGGGGCCTGGGCCTCATCCTAGTCCTCTCGGACGCAAAACGGGTCAGCCCTGTTCCCCGAGTATTCTGACGCAGGCGCGTTTTGGTTCCTTCAGGCCCGTCAGCAATTCAGGAGATCTCAGAGGTCCGAGACACGAGAGGGAGCGGTGCGACGTCAACCCTCAGCCCTCGAAGGTGAGCTGTGGTGGCCCGGTCGTCCACCTTTGTCTCGGGGGCTTTTCTATCGGCAGCGATGTCCGTGATCTCGGCGGTGATCGTGAGACCGTACTGAGTCATCCCCTAGTTGGCTGACTGGCACGTCGAATGTTGTTGGACTCTGAGGGGTCAGCCCTATCGGGTTTGACTGGGCGTAAAGCTAGTGGGTTTGGAGATGATCGTCCACTATGGTGCCCCAGGCTCCCAACGGAGTAGCTACCCTGTGGGCGGCCTCTTGTCGGGCGGCCCACCTCATTCAACCTCTGCGTAATGTTGTCAAGCCGATAGAGGAACGCTTGGAATTGGTCCATCGTGACCAAGTTCTGAGCATTCCTTGTGTTTCTTGCCATCTCGATAGAAGCTTAGAAGTTAATTTTAAGGTGAGTTTTTTAATCCAGGGAAGTCTTAGCAACGATTCCTACAGATGACACCAATTGTTGCTGCCTTGGATGGGCCGAGGGCAAAAGGTAATTACGCTTCCGAGATGAGGGCTGGCTGATGAGTTCGAGGTCCGCTATGGCTGAGGTCTTGTAGCTCAGCCCTATGGAGGAAGAGAACACATCAGAGGCCCTAGGTGCTAACCCGAGGCGGGGACTCCGACGATCAAGTTAGCAAAGGTGCGATGGGAGGTGAACGAGGCCTGAGTTAGGATAGCTCAGACGAGGTCACGAGGGGAGTGATTGAATTCCAAGTAGCAAAGAGTCTAGATCCCTCACCTTAGGGGGGTCATCCCCTATTTATACTTGAGATCGCCTGGAGGTAGGTGCGCGCGGATGGCCAGGATGCAGTCCGGCCTTGTATGCGCAGCCACCCGAGGTCACCACGTGCAGCCGTGCCATTGGGCCCACGTCACACGCCGACTTCTGCTTCGCATGACGTCCCTATTAGGTCTGCGTTGTACGCCACCCTTTGCCATGTGTGGGCGTGCTGTTAGTCTTCCATGAGCGCCTACATCAGTTTCCAATTCAATCACAGAGAAATAGAACCGTTCAATTGAATGGATATTCACAAATTTAACTACAATAATTAATTTAAATTTCATTACGTTAATTTAGATAATATGATTTTAATTACATTAATTAAAAAATTTAAATTTAAATACAATTCTTTTATTACGTTAATGTAATTAAATTGAATAAATTGACATAATTTTAGATACAAATACTTTTATTACCTTATGTTAAATACATTAATTCAATTGAATTAAATGCGTATATAATTATTTTGATTACTTTTATTTTAACTAACACTATTTTAACTTTCATTATGTTAATTTAATCAAGTTTTTATCAATTTAATTTAGATATAAATTAATATAAATATTTCATTCCTTTTACTTCAATTTCACTTGACAAAACTCATGCATCGTAGTGGTCCCGACTAGCATGATTTTCAAAACAAAACACTTTAACATCAAAAATAAATTGATTTTACCTGTAAACCAATCAAGTTGTTGAACCCCTCCCAAGTGAACTAGAGGACTACAAACAGAACCGAATCAAGTATGGATAGATATAAATTTGATATACATATATATAGTCGATACCAGTTGGTTCTTGAATTTTCAGATGTCACATTGTCACGGGGCTGTTCAACGAGGCTTTGTTCAACGATGTGATTGAATAAGCCTAAAAATGCAAGCAACAACACACAAAAAGCAACAAGCACACGAATTAGTCAAAAGGCACTTTATATTGCATAAATTGATGGCAAGCACAAACACACAGTTTAGTGTCGATGGGGTCTCGTGCTTAACCTTTACACGTTACTGATTCACTCGACTACCTACCTCCCCTCAAAGAGTACGCCAAGTTTTTGGGGGAATGACATAAAGAAACATCAAAATGGTGAAAAATCATACTATAAAATTACAAGATTGTCATTGGCATTCCCCCCATACAAAATACATGTAATACCCCACCTAAGACACACTTGGACACTCGGATGGCATGTTGTGGGCGTGTTGGTGACACTTGATGGCGCAACAAATTGGTCACTTGTGACAACACAACAGTCGTGAAAACTAACGGTTCTTTTAAATTTGATTTATTGGATGCATTGATCCAACCCGGTTGTGGCATTTCCAATGGAGAAATGTAAAAAATAAAAAGAAAATTAAGAATTACTTATTTTGGCTAAGTAGGTCAAGATGGATGGAAAAATGTGGGTGAGGATGAAGGTGGGTTTTGACCATAGTTTTCAAGGCACCAAGGCGAGGTTAGGAGACTCGAGGGTGCCTTGTCACCTAGGCGTTGCTTAGGCGATGGATTTTTTTTATGTTAAAAACATAGATCCTAGGATAATTCCCTAGGTACCATAACCATATTTCTTTAATAATTATTCATGATTTTCATAAGAAAAGTATAAATTTCAAATTGAAGTATAGAAAATCAATATATTCATGAGAATAAAAGGAATAAGGAAAATAAAATTCAAAAAATATAGGGGATGAACCCTTATTTTTGTTATAGGAAAAGAAGAAAATAAAAAGTAGAGAAAATTCCTTATTAATACCCTGTACTTTGGCTCAAGTGACAATTTGGTCCCCGAACTTTAAATTGCAACAATCCAATACCCAAACTATCAAAATGTGACAATCCAATACCTGTCATTATGTCCTTCGAATGCCATCTAATTCTCTTTATCAACCATCCAAATGTTGATAAAAAACTGAAGTCCCAAATCATAGCCTCTTCTGTTCAAAAATGTTTGGTGATTGTTTAAAAGAATCTAGAATTTGGAACTGTTCATTTTATTGTCAATGATTGGTTCAGGGTTTTAAGTCTTGTTAGATTCAATACAGCATTTAACAATGCTTGTATTGATTAAACCTTAATAAATAAGAAAATAACAAAAAGAAATTATATAAACACACAAAATGATTATTTTAATTTAATAATATTTATTTTATAATTATAATATAAAAAAAGAATAAATAAAAAAATATTTTATAGAAAAAAGTAGAAACTGCTTGGCAATTAAGGTGAGGCGAGCCTCAAAGGGCGCCTGGCATTGACAACTATGGTTCTGACCTACTAACAGGGATTTATAATGAATGGAGCATAGTAGGTTAAGTAGGTCAATATGGGTGTGTCGACTCACCGTTTGTGGATTTGACGGTAACGTTTGATTGGTTACAAGGTTTTCAGGTATCATCATAGTAGAACCCATAACATTATAAATCATGAATGAACAAAGTGAACTGAATAAATTTTGGAAAATTGAACGTACAACTTCTTAGTAAAAATACAACATCAATTTTGCTAGTAAATACAATGCAATTTTTAATCAATAATATGTTCAAATCGAATCAAATAATATCAGATCCGATAGGGGTGGATGCACATTATTCGAATTTGGATTACCCTGACGTAATCGAATTCGAATTCAGACAAACCGATACCATTTGAATGTGATTGGTTTATCGTAAATCAAAAGAATGGTATAATAATAATGCACGTAAAACAGGTCTAGAATCAAGATCAAGTAATCCTTTTTGAGCATTTACTACAAATTACAATAAGAATTTTCCTACCCATTACTGAAACAACAAAAAAGAAATAACACTCAGGTCCAATAAAAGCTGTAAAATACCTGATGCAATCCCAACGACAAAGGACACAACTTGGTTCAAAAATATAAACTCATCAGAAATAGGAACCCATAAAGAATCACCTCTAAGATGAAGAGCAGCATGCCTTCTTAGTGTTTGCATCTGATCCAGAGACAACAATTGTCTTCCCTTCTTTAATGTTAGCAGGTGCAGGCTCCTCTGAAGACAGAGATTTCTTACTGATTATTCGATATATTTCTCCCAGAATAGTCTGGAAAGCTTTTTCAACATTAGTTGCTTCCAGTGCAGAGGTCTCGATGAAGGAAAGGCCTTCCTTTTCAGCAAAGCTTTGAGCATCCTCAGTTGCAACGCCACGCAGATGCTTCAGATCAGTCTTGTTCCCAATGAGCATAATCACAATATTAGAATCGGCATGATCACGCAACTCCTTCAACCACCGACTCACATTTTCATAGGTCGTTGGTTTTGTTACATCATACACGAGAAGAGCCCCAAGAGCACCTCTGTAGTAAGCACTGGTAATTGCTCTGTAACGCTCCTGTCCAGCTGTGTCCCATATCTGTGCTTTTATTGTCTTGCCCTCAACCTGAAGAGGAAAATGGAAAATATGAATTTAGATTTAGAATATATAAGTARAAAGCAAAAAATTGATTTTAGTCAGGCTTGGAGTTAAATGAGTTCAAAACACCGAACACATTTTAACGTGGAAAACTAATGCAACGGAGGTAATTTGCACAGTATCCAGCATGGACAATCAAATAGGATGTAAGCTCTAGAAGAAATCCGTATACCCATATTACTATACCTATTAAAACTAAACAAACTAAAAACAATTCCAAGGTGATCCCAGCTATCTGTGGTCTTAGGAGGGTTCGACTGGATGCAGATCTAACCTTTGGCTTTTCTTTTCTTTTTGTTTTTCTGGCACAAAGTGTATGCCAAGCAAAATGAGGAGTCCAAGTCACGCTTAGAAAATGGAAAAACTTCAAAACTCACCACAAACTGACACCCTATAACTAAAATCGTCAGATTTTCAAGATCTTGGTCACATTTGATCTTGGTCTTAACTCTCAATACATGTCAGATTTTCAAGATCTTGGTCACATTTGATCTTTGGTCTTAACTCTCGATACATCAGATATATGGGGACCAATTCCCCAAGAGAGAGAGCTGTAATTTGGCTATTTGACTGTTCTAGTGTTGATTAACTGTGGTTAACCAGCACGGTGGGCTTTGTATTGGACCTCATGCAATAAATTTCTACAATTTAATAAAGTAATCATATGTTATCTTTCAAAAAAAAAAAAAAAAAGATTCTGAACCAGCTTTTTGTACTGTATGGGAAAATCCGGTTGAAGATTTTTGGACTGCAATAAGGAAAGTCAAATGCTCCACTGATAGAAAACCAGAATCCAGTAATTCTATCCACTCTTGATGGGTAGAGGAAGATGCCAAGATTAATACATTGTTGTGGAACCCTATGGATCTGAAAATCAGCAGTGCCTTCATCTTCTTGGATACATCCAAGCACATTCAGGATAAGGTTAAGAAGATGTATTCTTGAAGTAATAATAGTATTTGTATATATCAGGTGTTCCAATCCTTTTTTTTTTCTTTTTTGATTAGCAATGTCCCAGTCCTTCTTTTTTCATTTTGGGTGACAACTTATCACCTCTTACTGTATTCACTATTCCCTTATCCTTGCTATGAACAATTTTTCTTTATTTATTTTCAAAATAAATAACTCACTAGAAGACTATTTTTCTGAGTTGATGGGATTATGTGAGAATCTTAATATTTACCAGCCAATTACCTATGATGCTACCATGATACAACAATGAAGAAATAACCTATATGTTCCAGAGTTTCTATCTAGCATCTAACCTCAGTATGAACCTATTGAGTAACAAATTTTAGGTAGTCCTTCACACACTACATCTACTATGGATCATTTGGCTTAGGTGGTTACTGGGAGTGTAGGACACAGTGATCATGGTGGATATGGAGGATTTCACTTGTAGAGGACAAGGCAAGGGAACCCCCCATCACCTTTTCTTTTCACCCTAGTTGTTGATATCCTTAATAGACTTATTTCCAAAGCTGACAAGGAGATTAGGGGATGGAAAGTAGGTAGAAATAATATCCGAAACTCTCAGGTACCCATCTCTAGTTTGCAGATGGCATAATTATTTTCTGTGAAGAGGGAGGTCACAAGATGGTGAGGAATTTAGGGTCCATTTGGTTCACATTTGGAATCAGAATTGGAATGGTCTATTCCCCCCACCTGTTTGCTTCAAATGGGAATCAAAGTTGGAGTCAGAATCAATTGGATGAGATTCTCATTCCCAAGGGAGGGGGAGGGAATGGCCATTCCCTCAAATGGTGGAATGCCATTCCACCAAGAAATGGGAATTGGATTCCTATTCTGCCCAACCAAATGGTTGGAATCAGAATGGGCCATCCAATTCCAGACCCCTATTCCAACAAACCAAAGGAACAAGCCTTGACCCCTTCTTCCCCAAAGTGCTGGTTGCGGGACTCAATTCCGCATCAACACTGGAACAAACCTGCTAGTACACCAACGAGCCAGCCCTCGGTTGGTCTATCTAGATTGGGAGCTACATTCTATAGCGGCCTATCTAGATTGTTCTATCACTAATTGGCCTCTGACCTACCTAGGCCTCCCACTAGGTGCAAACCCCAAGGAAAGTACATTTTGGAGGCCAATCCTAGAGAGGTGCACAAAGAGACCAGTAGTGTGGAAGGGGAGCTAATACATCAATGAGGGGACGGGGGGTTAAAATAACTTTCATAAAATTCATGCTTGCAAATTTGCCAATTTACTACTTGTTAGTGTTTAGGATTTCACAAAAGGTGGCCAATAAGATTGAAAAAGTAATGAGGGAATTCCTTTAGAAGATAGGGGAAGAGAAGAAAAATCACCTAATTAGATGGGAGATCCTCTGTAGGAGTTTACAAGAGGGTGGGTTGGTGGATAATGTAGACAAGAACATAACATTGATGGCCCTTGGAGAGGGGGAGGGGGAGAGAGAGAGAGAGAGATAGAGAGAGAGAGAATGTGGCACAAGGTTATAGCAAACATTCATGGTAGGTTGTACACTAGATGGGATACATGTGTATCTCAATGAGCTACTTTGGTGTCACCTTGGAAGGCAATTCATGGTATTCTTTCTCACTTTCACAGTTTCATCAAGTATGATGTTTTTCAGGGGATTCTATTCAATTTTGAGAGGATGTATGGGTTGATGTTTCTGCCTTCAAGGATCTTTTCCCTCTTTTGTACTCTATTTCCTTGTATAAAATTATGTGTTTCTCAAGTTTCATTATCCCTCCCTTAATGTTTTTGGGACACAATTGGGATTTTGGTTTTCAAAGAGGTTTGAGGGATTTTGAATTATCCTATTTGGCTGGTTTGTTGCATTTACTCGATAGTGTACCTAGACCCCATCAAACAAATAGATGTATTTGGACCCTCCATCCCAAGGGATGTTTTTCTTATGCTTCTCACCTTTCTTCTCTCCCTCGAACCTTTCCATTCAAGGAAGTTTGGTGTAGACCAATTCCACCCAAAATAGAAGCCTGTTGTTGGAGTGTATCATGGGAAGGTTAATGCACAATTTGCAAAAAACAAAACCCTTGTGTATATCTCCAAACTGGTGCATTGCATGTTAATCCAATGGAGAGAGTTGTTACCAATTACTAATCTCCTAACCTAGAGATCTTTGCAAATGGTTTTTCGCTTTATTTGGGTGCAAGTGCACTTTGCAAATGGAGGTGGACATACTTTTCGATCCTTCTACCTTTCTTTGGCCTAAAAGAAGGGGAAGAATTATGTGGAGGTGTTTAAAAGCATTATTGATTTGGACCCTATGGGAAAAAAGGAATGCTAAGGCCATGTTTAGTTCACTTCCATGGGCCTTATTCTTTCAATTCTTAGCCATTCTGGGTAAGAATGAATTACATGAGAGCATTTGATTACAAAATTCTTACCATGGGCCTCATTCATTTTAGAATGAAAAATGAGTCCATGGCACAAAAATTGAGGTAACTTGCAGTATGAAAAATAATAGTGCTCCATGTTGCTCATTTCCATTCTTCAAAGAAACTCTATGCCGACAGTCATAAACTGTCGGCCTAAGTCTCAAACTCTCAATTCTCAAAAACCATCACCATAGACTTTTATAGATGGATGGCAACAATCAACCATCCGCCAGCCACTGCTATCATGAAAGCTTATGCCAACGAACATTGATTGTTGACCATCCATCGGTAAAAATCTATGCCAGCAGCTTTTGAAACCTAGGCTAGCGGTTTATGACTGCCAACACAGAGCTTCTTTGAAAAATTAATAAGATGTTTTACTATATTTTATGAATTTCTTAATATATTATCTTTATTGAATATACTATTATCAATTTAATGAAAGTTGGACATTTTATACTTCTTCATGTTATTAATTTTATTTTCAATTTTACAATTTATAAATTCCAATTCTATTTGGAAGTTCCAAGCTCTTTCTTCACTTGCACAACTACCTACTCAACCAACACTCATTTCCTTTTAATTAGTTTTAAATAGGTGTTAATTGTTTCCTTTAAATTTTCTTTTATGTTTTCTCTATGCAAACCAAATGCAAAAACTTTTCTAGTTTCTTGTCTTTTTCTCTTTTCTTTATATATTTTGTGTTATTGATGTGGGACCCACACGGTTGATTTGTGTTTTGTTGGTGTGGGTCTTGTGTGCTTCAACTATATATCTGCTAATGGGTATTGTATGATAGCTATATTCAAGCTTCAAAGTATCGACATGTATCGGCCCGTATCGGCCGATATGTATCGTTTCGGGAGCTCCCCGATACGCCCCTACAGAGAGTGTATCGGGGTTCTGACCGGTTCAGGGGTTGGAGGAGCCTTAAACTGGCCCCCTGAATCGGTTTTGAAAAGAAAATTAAAAAAAGTTAAAAAAAGTACCAATGTCGCCCAATACACCCCTACCGGCGTATCGGGCGTATCGATATTTTGAACCTTGGCTATATTATTATGTTGGTTAATGAAAAAAATGAGTAAAAATTAAATTTGTAACCAAACATGTTCAAAATATATACACATTCTTGCCACAAAAAGAATTCATTTTTCTAGAAAAAAATGTTTGGTTCGTAGCAACATGTTCTCATTCTGCCCATCCACCCCTTCCAACTTCATTTCATGTAATAATAGCAGCTCCACTCTATAACATCTAACCAAGATTTATTACCATGTCCCTTCTCCTCCCATCCTTTAACCCCCTTATATTCCAAGAGCAAACCCTCATTTCCTCTTGATACTTTCTTTATTTCTTTTTCTTTTTCTTTTTCTTTTTCTTTTTCTTTTTTTTACTTAGGATCTTCTTCTGCTGTCACTGAATCACTATTTCCTGTCCTAATCTCCTATCTAAAAAAAAAAAGAAACTTTGTCTCCTTTCTCTTCCACTTCCCTTGAACACTTGTCATGCAACTTCCTCCCCACCCCCAATAAACAAAATCCCAATATTTTACTCACCTGAACCTCTGTTTCCACCACCTTCTTTAAATCCACCTTTCTCTGCACCTTATAAGTCCTTTCCACTTCCACCTACTGTAACTAACCCTGCTACCCCTCAACCTCCCCTTCTCCTCCCCCCCACCTGCTTCGCTCTAATCTTCTTTTTCTCTGGTACACCTGAGATTTCGGAACAGACACACCACCTAGCTCAACCTCTCATCTACCTCTTCCTCCAAGGTCTCTCTCCCCACCATCACCTTCTTCATCTCTCTCTCCCCACCATCAGACACTCTCACCCATTATTGTTAGACACAACCCTTAAACTCTGAAAACACACCAACTTCCTCAACAGAGAACAATCTCCCTTTGATATCCTATTCTTCTATCTTCAATCCTTCTTTAGTTTTAACAAAGCCAAATTATGCCAGCACAAATAAATCCCATCATTCCCACTACAACCTATAGAAATGCAAATAGATTTCTTATGCCCCTCTCCGAAGAATACAAATAGCAGATGCACAGAACCCTACTATTCTTCTAAAGTTAAGTAGGATCTACCATCTCCATTCAACTTACTCCACCTATGATTAGTTTCCCCATGTAGTGCACTCATCTACGAAAGCACACACACCTAACAAAGGCCTCCTTGCAACAAGTAGGTGTAGCCTCTACCTCATTCAAAAGCTCTATTTAATTTATCCAATTATGGTGGGAAAGGACCCGATTAAACTAAAAAACTTTAGCTTCAATGGAAATCTGGGTCATGATAGATGAAGTTGAAATGTCAGAAACAGCTAAGTGGTGGAACAGTGAGCACTGGAAGAAGAGAGACGAAGAAGATTGGGATGAGGGATGAGGAAAATAATAGGGAAAGTGGTATGGAGGAAGAAGGTACCAAAGATTTAATGTGAAAGTGGAAAGAAACCTGTTCTGATGAGATTTCATAACCCATGTTAGAGATGGGGGAATTCCTATTGGAGACTCGGTCACCAATTCGGCCCAACTAACAATGAGGAATCGCCCCCTACATGATTCGACCGAGTTGGGTTAATGCAAGGTTGGATGTTGGACCCACTCCCTTCAGGTTACCCGAACCGCTTGGGTAAATGCCCCTGCACCCACCATCCACGACAACCTTCCATTCTCCCAACCCGACACCCCCCCCCTTGAATAACCCTATTCTCCATTCCCAAATCCTTCAGTCAGTCCCCCAAATTCTGACCCCTTCCAGCTAACATCTCCAGAACTCTTAGACACTCGAGAAGAGTTTCTTTTAACACCTCCTTTGAAAATTCTGCCAAACCTTGATTCTTAATTGAATTTTGAACATCAATCCCCATCTGACTGTTCACATTGGTCCCAATTGAGCAGTCAAGAGGGACTTGATATCTCTTGGTCTTGGCCCACGAGCCTAATCGAGATTCCTCAGGACCCGTCTCTGTTACAGGTCTCTAGTTCATCGTCACCTTCCTCTCTATCTCCCTCCTCTCCAGCGAACCCCCAAGTTATCACTTTCATCCACCTCCTCTTCTAGGACTAGGGTTTTACTTGTTTCTGACCCCAAACCCTCCTTGTCTCCAAGAAAGAATCTTTACAACAAAGTGAAAAAGAATCCTAATTGTTGCATTTATTCTTCTCAAATTCACATAGAAGAAAACTATTTTCTGCATAATACAATTGACCAATCAATTCTAATTTTCAGGAAAAAAAAACGCTGATTTTCAAAATAGAACTGATCATTCAACCACATCATATAGTGAAAACCCTACATAAACTAATCACAAAAACACTTATTTAGTAGAAGTTCCCTTGACATTTATATAGTATATAAATTTTAGTGATTAGTTATTTAAAGCAAGCAGGCTGGGATTGCTTCCCTTGCTTGGCAGATCTAACCACAGGAAACAGTCTAATCTAGTAAYTTTTAATGAAAACTACCATGCTCACTTTAACTTATATAGACAGAACCAACATTTCACATGGATTGTATGTAGATTGTATCCTAAATTGAGGCTCTTGCTCCATATATGTGTATGTTTTCCTTTGAACCAGGTAAGTAAAGAAAACATATGCAGGCAAGGATTAAGAGCCTTACTTTTAGGCGACATACATTCCAATAAACTGAAAATGGGTTATACACACTCATATCAATATATAAAGTAGGAATAATTAATTATTTGCCCAAACAAAGTTATTTAAATCTATACTGCCTGCATGGTTGGTTGTCTAAGTGATGGGCCTCCAAATGCCTAGGCAATGCTTTTTAACTGCAAAGTAGTTATACTATGCTTTATATATTTCCCAGTAGTCATTTCCTAATTTTTTACTTTTGGCCACTGAATTGAATGTCATGATTCTATGCTATTACCCTGCAACACCAGAAGCACACACCTTTCTGTTCTACTATTTCTACTAAAACAAGGAAGTTTGAGCTCTTTCAGAAATGGGGGAGAGGCTTTTAATTTGTAATTTTCAAATCCAAAAGTACAACTTTAAGCTCTTTTCAGTATTCCACTTGGTTTATTCCACATGTGAGGCATGCAAAACCAAGCTAAGTTATAGTCACATAACCACAAAAGACACTAAAAGTTACAATTTACAAGATTCCTCCTACTTAATGATTTAGTATTCATTCTTTAAATGGTAAAACAGTAGAGCATAGAATATTAGCCATTTGCATTGTACTATTCTTGTCGTACATTGGATCTTGGAAAAGAATCATTTAATGAATATGCTTCAAATTGAATATCTTAAGCTCAGTTAGTGAAAACCCATACAAGAGAATGCACACCACTCTTAGAACCAAAACCCCAATCTAGAAAATATTAGGTGGTGCTCTACAACATGAATGTTTTTGTTTTCATTTGTTTTTAAAATCGCCACATCAGTAAAAAACTTTTGAAACACGTTCCTGAATTGTGTTTTAGTTTTGAAAAGTAGAAATGAGTTGGTTTTCGTTTTGAAAAAAAAATCATATTTTTGAAACCTAAAAATGATGGCTTTAAAACCAAAAAAAAAAAACAAATTTTGGATTACAAATATTATATGATTTATGAAACATGATAACAGGTTATCAGGTAAAAACCTATTTGGAAATCCGAAATCCAATAGAACGCTTTATTTTTAGGAACGAAATTGTTTTCAAACCAGATGGTTTTGATTTTCTTTTCTTTGGAACCAACAACCTTAATCGATCTTGAGAATGCTCATGAGTCGCCCATCCCCCCACCCCAACCCAAAGAGATAAAAAAGAAATAAAAAAAGAGGGGGAGAGAGAGAGAGAGAGAGAGAGAATAAAACCACGACTAGTTTAGTTTTACTTCAAGAGAAATATGCGCAGAGTCACGTATAACTAGCAATGATTATTCAGATTTTAACGATAAGATACTGGCCACGAATCAGATCTAGGGTAAACAATGATTACACATCAATAAATGAACTTTAATTAAGCCAAACATACTAGATCCATAGTCGAGAAACGAATTTCACAAAACCCATTTGACATTTACTTGTCATTACGCAAACAAAGAGCAAATTTAGAAAATAGAAGAAAGAAGCAAAGGAAAGAAAGAGAAAACAACAATAGAATACGATTCAGTTCAAAAACTAAAATCACTTCAAAATAAATTTCAAATCGAGATACTGAAAAAAAATAATAATAATGAATCAAACGAATCAATATTTTCAAATAAAACCCAAAAAATAAGAACAGCCCATCACTGGTTTCCACCAAAAAAAAGTTCAGAAAATCAAGGAGGAAAGACCAAAGAACCCAAAAATAGGGATACCCACAGATCCAAACGAAATACAAATCAAGCAAAGGTAAAAAAGTAAAGCAAGCAATACCTGAACGGTCCGAGTAGCGAATTCAACACCGATTGTGGATTTAGATTCCAGACAGAACTCATTTCTGGTGAATCTGGAGAGAAGATTGGACTTCCCAACGCCAGAATCTCCGATTAATACGACCTTGAATAAGTAATCGTACTCCTCATCCGGTCTCCTCGCCATCAGTTGTGCAAGAAACAAATCGCGTTCTTCGATCCGATGAGCCCCCAACGGACTCGGGAGGAAGACCTCGATTCAAATCAAGAAAGAAACAAAATTAAACTAAGCGCTTCTCTCTCTCTCTCTCGCTCGCTCGTTCGCAGTAACAAAGAAATCGAAAGTCCTAGCATATGATAATGCGGACAGAGGACACATGTCCAATGTCCCCACCCTTGAATCTCGCGATATTGCCAGAAAGGAATTTATTTCAAGTAGAACTTAACAGTTGACAGAAGTTACGGTCTATAAGGGGCGAAAAAGCGTTGGCTAGGTTTCGTTTTAGAGTGACACCGTGGGATGCAAACGGATCGGATCGGATTCGAATTAGGGTATATTCGAATCCGATCCGATACTGTTTATCTCGGATCCGATCAGACCTGATATGACTCGATTTGAATTCGAATTCTATGGATAAGTTGGATATTCAGATCTGATCCGATCCGACTTATTTTCTTTAAAAATTAATAAATTATTAAAAGAAAAATAAATTAAATTAATTTAAATAAAATAAAAATAAAAAATACAAATATTTTTTAATTATTTTCATTATATATACATATTTAAAAAAATAAGTAATATAATAAATTTATAAAAATAATATAAAAAATATATTTATAAATAAATAAATAACATATATATGTATTATATATATTTATATTTATAAATATATAATATATATCGGATAGGGGGTGATCCGAATCCAATCCGATTAATAGGATTCGACAATGAATGATCCGAATTCGACCAAATAGGATCGGATCTCGGACCAGATCATGATTTGATCCATTTTACACCCCTAGTGACACGTTGAGGGGAGAACATGGGACGAGCTGGGTTTTATACATGGTACAAGGGCTTCAGACTAGGCCCCTTCACCCTTGCACCCCGAGCAAGGCTTACGGGCTTTTCTCACCCTATAGAAAGAAAAAAAATTAAGAACCGTTTGGGCTGTGYTAATTAGGGTTAATCATCAACAACCAAAAATCGAATCAAGCCAATAAAATTGGACCGAAAAAATCTAGTTAACTGAATTGATTGGTTTGGTTTGGGTTAAGTGTTTTGAAAAAAACAAAGGTACCAGTTTGATTTTAGTTAATAAATGTGAAAAATCAGCCGTTARCTAAATTCACAGGTATATATTTATATATTATATATACTTTTCATGCATATTAGTGATTCTTATTAAATATAAATATGTATGCATTATATATAAATATATATTTATAATATCTAATATTATATAATATAATATATTACATATATTGCTAGTATTTATATTATATAATAACATATTTATTTATAAAATATATTAAAAATTCAAAACAACAGAAAAACTGAAGAATTGAACCAATCAATCGGTTAACTGATTGGTTAATTGATGAAGGGTGATTTGGCCCGACCTAGTAAAGAGGGGACGCGTGGACACGATCTGATCAAGAGATGACAATTCAGCTTATCATAACCAGTCCGCAGCAGATCGAGCTCGGGTACTCAACCACCCCGGGCTAAAGTGACCTCGGGACAAGGCCACCTCGAGACGAAATCACCTCGGTACCAGATCGCAATAAGAACACCTCGATGCCAAGGTACTTCGGCACTCAACCCAGTTTGGGACTTAAAGACATCAGTTCGGGGATACCGACATGCCACTACGTGGTGATCCCAAAAACCCCTCCAACGGATCCCGGGCCTCATGGGATCACGCCGCGTAACAGCTAGCATTATCTCCTCGACCGATTTGAGCAGAAGTGATGAACCTTATTGGTTGGCAACATTATCTTCCAACTAACGCGGAAACGAGTCCTATCATGACGAAGATCCCGGAACTGATCCGCGAAACCCGCGAGGACTCGACTATATAAAGGCTCCACCCCCGGAGGTTCAAGGTACGCGTGATTTCTCTGCTTTCTAGCTCTCCTACATCCTTAAGCTATTTCAGCTCGCTACAAGTATACTGAGTTAAGCATCGGAGCGACCTCGCCGGGCTAGCAACCCCAGTTTCCCTAATCCTACTCTTGCATATCAACTTAGTCCATCGTCCGCCTGGAAGCCAGATCACCTCCAACAGGGAGCAGTGAGATCACGCAACATCATTTGGCGCCGTCTGTGGGAAACGCTACAAAAAGCCTTTCTCCACCAACAATAACAGAATCAAATCCATGGCTTCTTCCAGCAACGCCGGACAAAACAACGAAGCGAACGTCTCTGGGGGACAGTCTCAGATCCCGTCTGTTTGCATAGGTCAGTTTACCATACCGCTTACTGCGGTTGGAGTCCCAATGCTGATCATGCCCCAAGCGATTGCACAAGTAAATGCGCCACTCCCTCCTATAGTCGGCGCGACATTCGCTGAACCATCTGTGGTTCCCCCTAGAGTCGGGCAATCTCAACTTGACGACCTAGTACACTGCGTTCGGGCCATTCAGGTCCAAATGAAACAGGTCCAGCAATTCCAACACTATCAGTAACAAGTCCTCCATCACTTTTACCAACAACAGTTCCCTCCGCTACAGCAGAATTCGCAGCAGGTTCCACCTCGGCACCCGGGGGCATAGCAGAATCAACCCTGCCGCCGTCAGTAGAATCGCTCTCCCCGCCAAGGCAAGACCTCCCAAGTCCCACTTCCTCTTGGGAGTCAGGTCTCGTCCCGCAACAAGAGGAACAGACAAGTCACCCCCACCCGCTTCTCAGGGCAACTTGAACAGATCGGGAGATACTCAGCCCGCCAGGGCCACATTACCTCGGCCTTCTCATCAAGAGGGCTCGCTCGCAGGCAACCGGTTCGGGCCCCTGGCCGCAGACTCAAAACAAGGCCCATTCATCCATGGTAGCCAGGCTCAACACCCAGAGCCACTCCACGCCAGAACGGTACCAGATCATACGGAAGTCAGCAGCACTAATGCGGAGCCGGTCAAGAAGCAACAACAAAAGCGTCGTAAGGCACGATGAACTACAGCTCGTAGCCAGCTCATCGTTCCCAGCCAGCTAGAGCAAGCAAAAGGTAAAGAAGAGGCGAGCTCGGCAGCCGCTAAGACTATTCCTCTCCTGCTCGGGTCGTCTCCTCTATCCTCCGAGCTCCTGGCGACTTCTATGCCAAAAGATTTTAAAATGCCTCCTCTGGACAAGTACGACGGATCCTTCAATCCGAATGATCATGTAGACTCCTTCCAGTCCCAGATGCACCTAGCTAGGGCTGATGAGTCCTGCATGTGCGTAGCCTTCTCCACAACATTTAAAGGAGTAGCTCGCACGTGGTATAGGAACCTCGTGCCAGGGACGATCAGAAGTTGGGTGCAGTTCGTAGAGTTGTTCACCTCGCACTTTATCACCAGCAAGAAGTGTCCGAGGTCCCAAGAAAGCCTCCTAAACATAGTTCAGAGAGAAGGGGAGTCAATTAGAAGCTATATCAAATGCTTCAACGACACCTGCTTGTAGATCCCCAACCTAGATCCAGCAGTGAGGCTCACGGTGGCGAACAAAGGTATAACACACAGAGAATTTAAGTGGCATGTGGTGGCCAATAAGCCGCAGGACATCACAAATTCCTGAAGCTCGCCGATCAGTTCATCGGGACCAAGGAAGAGATGAACCAAAAGACAGAGAATCCAGCAGAAAAGAGGAAAAGAGAAGGTGACAATGCAAGTAACGGTGGCAACAAGCGAAGAAAGAGCAAGTCCCCGACTAGGGGAGGAAACAAGTTTGGGAGCCGATCTCCTTCACAATTTCACAGGTCAGGTCGGCGTTCCCAAACTCCGCTAGTTGAACGGACTAGCTACACGCCTCTCAGCGCGAAGCGAGGAGAAATCCTTATGGCAATCAAGGACTCCTCCTACGTCAAGTGGCCACCTCGATTGAGGGGGGACCCCGCCAACAGGAACATGAACATGAACTGTCACTTTCACAAAGATCATGGTCATAGTACTGAAAATTGTAGAAACCTCCACGACGAGATCGAAGAATTCATCCGTCACGGATATCTAAAAAATTTCATACAAAAAGAAAATAAAAACCAATCAGATCGGCAGGAGGAGCAAAGAAGAAATGCTCCCGAGTCCAGTAGCAGGCAGAATGAGCAGCCACAGAGGCAATTACCAGAAAAAGGCCGATCCACGGAGTAATCAATGTGATTACTGGCGGGTCCATCATCATGGGCTGCACCTCAGCGGTGAGTAAAGCCTCAGTTTGCAAACTAGAGCATGAAGAGCAGAATCCAACGAAGCGACCCAGGCTTGAAGATCCCATCTACTTCACAGAAGATGATGCACGTGGGATCCAGTACCCCCATGACAACGCCCTGGTGATAAAGATGAGACTGAATGACTTCAAAGTGAAGCACGTCCTAGTGGATTCGGGCAGTTCGGCTGACATTCTATTCAAGGACGCCTACGACAAGCTCCAGCTCCAAGAAAGCGATCTCAAGCCAACGGATACACCTTTGGTAGGCTTCAGCGGCGAAGAAGTCAGACCGCTAGGGCGAGTCTCGGAACCTGTAGAGATCGGCACACGGCCCAACATTGCAAGGTTCGAGCACACATTCTTGGTAGTCGCGACTCCCTCCCCGTACAACGCCATTGTAGGTTGGCCTATTACCCATGCACTACGCGCAGTAGTGTCCACCTACTACTTGGCCATGAAGTTCCTGACGAACTATGTGAAGGAATGGAAAAATCCATCATATGGACGCCCAGATAAAGCGGAATAGAATGGGCAAATTTCAAAAATTTCTTTCCTTCTTACAACTTTAGAAAACTGATTTTCAAGGATCAATCTACCTGATACGGAGAATTAGTATCCCCCAACGAAGGTGTTCACGCCCAGAAAAGTCACCAAAGGCTGCTCCCACTGAAGAAGGCGCAGTGTAGGACGGAGCAAAATCATCAACGTTCTTGACAAGAACTGGATCCTTCGCAAGAACCCACTGGACGGTAGGTAAGCACAACTTCTTTTCAATTCTTTCACAAAGAACTGAAATCAAGAACCCTTCTTGATGAATCCCACGTGAGTGGAGATGAAGTACTAATGGCGGTGGCGGCAAGAAGGAGGCGGCAAGGAGAAATTGACACAGTCTCACTGTATGCTGATTTCTGTCTTTTGTGTTGTATCTGTATCTCAGATGAGTGTGTTTTGAGGCTGCCGCCCCCTCCTCCTTTTATAATCCTAAAGGGATCAGCTCCTAATCCTATTAGGAGATGTT